AAGTCCTATTGATCGCTAGAAACTGCAGCCGACTTCAAGTAGGAAAATATGAATAATGATACAGATGACCAGAAACGGTGTCCTGACCATAACCGGCACGTCTATCCAATAGCCAGTTTTTCGCCGAGTTTTTCCCGACCGTGGATCCCTCCCCTCCGGCAGGTTCTTAACCGATAATTAATTAATCGCAGCATCCAGCCGGCCGAGATCCGCGAGGATTGATCCTCGTTAAGGCTTTCCAAGGCCAACGACGCTCCAAGGAGAACGGGAGAGCCTCGAGGAAAGCTGGCAACTATTCGCCGTAAATTGGAGACTCTGATCTACCCTCTCCCACAACTGCCCCCCTTCCCTCCCCCTCGATCCGACCCTTCTTCCAGGCCAGCATTCCTCTTCCGGTATGCCGGGATTCCACGGGAAACTTTTTCAGATTGCGCGGCCGCGTAAAATGTTTCCCGACATAGCTGCTAAGCTGAAGCGTTCCGCGGACAACGCGGGGGTGGGATGCAACTACCCCGATCGAAGCCTGATTGTTAATAGAGGTGGTGGCCGTGGCAATCAGAGACGATGTCGGTCCGCAAAATCAGAGGATAGCCGAACAGTATGCTAAACGTCGCCGATATTTCAATCTTCGCGATTTCTGTGAATGATCTTCTTACGGTTTCCATCGAATGTGATCTTATAGAGGGAAGTTTCCTCTTTGCAATGACGTGTCAAAAGTCGATTTGTGATTTTTCTTTGCGGTTTTATCGTATTTCAAATATTTATCTTAATCAAGATATTTTCGATATCTCAACTTTAGTGATTTACCTAAAAAAAAAATTTTTTTACAGATTCCGTTCAATGTGATCTTATAGAGGGAAGTCTCACCTTTAAAATGCCGTCCCAAAAGTGGATCTGCGATTCTTTTATCATGCTTTTACAGTACTTCGTGCGTGGCATTAACATAATACACGAGAACCTCGGCACACTTTTCATTCGAAATTCGATAGAACCGCAAAGAAAAATCGCAGATCGACTTTTGAGAGGTCATAGCAAAGAGGAGACTTTCCTCTATAAGATACGATTAAAATGGATATCGACAAAAAAATTGTTACGCAAGTTACGGAAGCTTGAAGATCAAGAATTAAGATCGAGATCATTTGGCTGATGTAGTTCTGTTTAAAATGCAATAGAACCGTAAAGAAAAATCGCAAATCGACTTTTAAGAGGCCATAGTAAAGAGGAGACTTCGGCCTGTCAGGAAACAACAAGACGAGTACGTAAAAAAAATGTGTTCAAGTCGGCAGACTGATTACAGTAATTTCTCTCTGAAATGCCAAATTTCGGGTTGCCGTGAATTTCCCTGTGTTAGTCGTACGCCTGTGTAAATTACTGCTACGTCGATGCTAAAGATCAACGGAATCCGTCAAGTATTAGTATTCTCGACTTAGTATTCTCAGATCTGCCGGTTTCAATTCCGCCCTCCGAACATTTCTGGGAGAAATCACTGTAAAACCGCAACATTTCAAATGAGCGAATAAAATCGTGATCCATATCCTGTTATTGGTACTTGAACTACCGGTTACTAACGGTTCTGAAATAGAATTCGTGGTCGCGAGGACAAACGTGCAGAGATAGAGACGCTTGCGCGGAAGGAGAAAAGCGCGGCGAAGCGCAGATCGAGGGGAAACACGTTGAGAACGTGTATCAATATTGGCCCAGGCTGCCTAAATGTTGGACCGCGCGCTATCAGCGCCGCTGTATACATTATTCATGCACGATAAAGTATTCTCGGGACCGAGCTGTACTCGGACACGCGTGCACATATACGTAGAAACGTACACACGTCGATCGGCGAATGCTGTGCGAGGGATTTGGCGCCACGCAGCCAATGAAACTTCGATATCCTCCGGTCACTTGTCTTTTCCTTCCTAGCGAAGCTAGGTCGCTTCCGACCTGGTAAAACGCAAGAAATATTCGAGTCAGGTGAAAAATATGGGTTCGCATTGTGGAGGGATCCTTCGAAGTCTTCGCGATTAGTATACTGTTACAACGGACCAAGAGAGGAACCCGGAGAAGTCGATTTCCGGATTGTGACTTCCGGTCAACAGTAAGGTACATGACGCAGTGCTTAAACATTTAAGAAAGGTGTTTAAGTAATACTGATTGGTGGTGTCAATTAGTTTTTATTCGAAAGGGCGGATTCTTTTTTACTAAATAAAGCGACAGAGCCGATTAATGAAGCAAATAAAAATTATAGCAAATAGGAATTTATATGGAGCCTCTTATTATCCAATGGGATCTGTCTTTAATTATTAATTACTTAATATTAATTACTGTCCCAGTAATTAAGCACAATTATTAAGATGTAGAAACGTAACAAACTACGCATGTAGTACCGTGAAAAGTTATATACTTATTTTGAATTACTTAAAAAAATGTGTGCAAAACTTGTTGACTATAATATAACGTAATTACAATAAACTTAAGATATTTTTAAAAAATTATTTAGGTTTATAAAAATTCTTTTAAGAGACGAAGAACATTGCTTATTGCATTGTCGAATAAAGTGTTAATTGATTATCCTCATTAGCCTGAAATTCCTTACAAAATTTTATTTTAACTCCTTCGCATTTTAAACATCCTAGTAAAATTCAGTTTGTTCGAATAGATTGCAATAAATACGAATTTTGAATATATTGTCGGATATATGAGAATAAAAATGGATCAACGTGTTAATAAACAGTTGTGTTCGCCGGCGAAGAGGACCATAAAATCGCCATAAAATCGTAGCAATGCTTTATCGTCGCGCGTAGTTTTGCAGACCGTTTCGAAGCAATTGCTGGGCGGTGTTTAAAAAGGGTTGATCCACGACAGAAATTATAAAACGTTAATTATCAACGAGTAGAAGGGAGTCGTGGCACGGATCCCCTTGACGCTCATTAGGGTCAGGTACCCTTAATGGCGGCGAAAGTTATACCGGCTTATTTTACCGGCGACTCGAGCCCACCACTCTCCGCCCCTTCACCTGTCCGTTTTCTGACTCGCAGCTTCCACGTCGTCGCGTTTTATTATTTACCGAGCGATTTTTCCAATTTGCTGCGCCCGCGACTGGACACCCATTCGTTTCGCGAAACATCGCCCACCAAATTTCTGCAATTCTCGCAGCATCTGCCAATCGTTTAGCGCCGTTCGTTTTTTCGATCATATCTCTTCGTTCGTCCATTCGCTGCGTATCTCTAAATTTTCAGTTAGTCTTTTCAGTTAGAATTTCATTCACAGCTACGTCGATTAGCACCTTTTTGTCTCGAATAAATTCCTACACGAGATAATACATAGAATGTTTACATTAATTCTTGGACGACTGCCAATTTCAACAATTATACAATTCACGATGATTCGGATGAATCACAGCTTTATCGTTAATTTTTCAAAACATATTTCTCGGGATTCTTCTTGTTGATTTATTATTCTTTTTTTGTTCCTAGTCTAACAGTGTGATTTATTTTATTTAATTTCTGTGGATTGAGTAATTAGGCGACGATCGAAAGTACATTGATCCGAAATGATTCGCAATGTTAACTCCTTGAGTACAGATTTATTTAATTTATTTAATTTTGTTCTAGTTTGACTGACGAATTAGACTCGTCATCTGTAACTTAGGCAAAACAAGTGCATGACGAGTCTCAGTCGTCAAATGTACCCAAAGGGTTAGGGTAAATTGTATTCTTTGTCGGTTCACCCTCAGCAGTCGTAACACCCTCCAGAATAATCTATGCGTCGTCAAATTGAATTATAGCCACAAGTTCAATTTTATATCCATAAAATAAATTAAATAATAATAAAAATAAATAATGGAAAAACTGTAATTTTGCATTTAGAGTTAAAATGGCTTCTAACGCGAATGGTTGAATATTGAGTTTAATATATTGAGTAGATATTAAGTAAATATTGAATTAAACAGTTAAATATTGTTATTTAAGTAAATTTATTTAAGTAATTAATTCTTATATCATATCATACATATAATTAATTATAATATCATATTATATATAACAATCCTTTATTATAACTAAATATTCAGTAAAAATAAAGG